AGAAATGTGTTCTTATTACTTTTACATGTTTGGTGTAATTAATACCATAAATCTCAAGTGTCATACATTTTACTTTGAAAAAATGCCATTGATCTTCAATCTATTGCATTTTTTTTCTTGGAGGTGGAAGTGTTACGTACTCCTAGCAGAATACGTATATAAATTTAAAATAATTTTATTTTATCATTGCATGTATATGTACACACATTGTGTTTTGGGTAAATTGTCGTATGGTGTGGCAGCGTCAGTGGACAAGAGCGCGGTTGCCTTTGCACACGTCTATTACTTGATTGATTCGGGAAAGCTGGACCTGTTCAGTTTGGGAGTTCCAGATGTCACTTTTATTTAGTTAGATAAGTGTTTATTTTCTGCAATTAAACAGGTGTCATTATACTTATATATTTTGTAAGTAACTATTATATGTAACTTGCAGTCTTATGTGTTTTGAGAACAAGTGGTTGTTCAATTAGTTTATAATATTAAAAAGTCCTTAGTTTCCATCCCTCATCCTGGGATGAGGCAGACGGGAGGTGAGAATGTGGGTGGCGACAGAGCGAGAGTTCAGTGGCTGATACTGGACCAGGAGAGTAACATGTGGGAGATAAGTCTATTACATTCATTTTGTGCCATAGTTACTATTATATATTACGTGCCATGACAATACTTTCATATATTCTATAAGTTACCTTTACCATCTGTGTTTTTATATTATACTGTTTTGAATATATTTATGTAATATTGTTTATCTATTCTTCAGTCCTAAAAGGAAGATTTATTTTGTGCTCATTACTTATCAAGGGGTTATACTGGTGATTCGCTATTGAGAACAGCAGTTGTGTCGTATCCGTAGACGTAATTAAAGTTTGGCTACTGTAGGGTCACGAGCCGTAACGTACGATAGGTAACAAGGGCCTCAACACCACCAGTGCCACTGAGGTGAGGGCCTCAACACCACCAGTGCCACTGAGGTGAGGGCCTCAACACCACCAGTGTCACTGAGGTGAGGGCCTCAACACCACCAGTGTCACTGAGGTGAGGGCCTCAACACCACCAGTGCTACTGAGGTGAGGGCCTCAACACCACCAGTGCTACTGAGGTGAGGGCCTCAACACCACCAGTGTCACTGAGGTGAGGGCCTCAACACCACCAGTGCCAATGAGGTGAGGTGAGGGCCTCAACACCACCAGTGCCACTGAGGTGAGGTGAGGGCCTCAACACCACCAGTGCCAATGAGGTGAGGTGAGGGCCTCAACACCACCAGTGCCACTGAGGTGAGGGCCTCAACACCACCAGTGCCACTGAGGTGAGGGCCTCAACACCACCAGTGCCACTGAGGTGAGGGCCTCAACACCACCAGTGCCACTGAGGTGAGGGCCTCAACACCACCAGTGCCACTGAGGTGAGGGCCTCAACACCACCAGTGCCACTGAGGTGGGGGCCTCAACACCACCAGTGCCACTGAGGTGAGGGCCTCAACACCACCAGTGCTACTGAGGTGAGGGCCTCAACACCACCAGTGCCACTCAGGTGAGGTGAGGGCCTCAACACCACCAGTGTCACTGAGGTGAGGGCCTCAACACCACCAGTGTCACTGAGGTGAGGGCCTCAACACCACCAGTGCCACTGAGGTGAGGGCCTCAACACCACTGAGGTGAGGGCCTCAACACCACCAGTGTCACTGAGGTGAGGGCCTCAACACCACCAGTGCCACATGTAAGCATGTCCAGACTCCCAAACAAAGCTGTGTAATGTTTCAAATGAACTACTATTCTTAAACACACACCAAGCGGGCAGTTGTGTTTACGGTAGACTGTGTGCTGCGACGTCCAACAGACTGGTTGACCAGACTGAGCCGAGGAAGCATTGCTCCATGGAACCAACTCTGGTAGTTGTAACTTCAAGGCAAGATACGCTCTCTCCCGGCGTACCTGTCTCCTCCATTGGGCAATTTGGCAATAGCTTGTTTACAGAGAACTGAGCGGGCAGGTAATAGTGAACGCTACGCACTAGTTGCGTCACTTCCGGCTCGTAGGTAAAATGCGCGCGCTTTTTTGTTCCCGCCAGAATATTGGCGCCAATTTTGGCTCAAGCTCTCCTCAACTTGCTCTTCGATAGGCGAGTCTATATTCATACTTTAAGCAATATTGATTTACTTTATTTGACCTATAACTGAATATTATTTCCGAGAATAATAGAGTTACCTGGTTGATGGGGTTCTGGGAGTTCTTCTACTTCCCAAGCCCGGCCCGAGGCCAGGCTTGACTTGGTGAGAGTTTGGTCCACTTGGCTGTTGCTTGGAGCGGCCCGCAGGCCCACATACCCACCACAGCCCGGTTGGTCCGGCACTCCTTGGAGAAACTGATCTAGTTTTCTCTTGAGGATATCCACGGTTGTTCCAGCAATATTTCTTATGTTAGCTGGGAGGACGTTGAACAACCGTGGACCTCTGATGTTTATACAGTGTTCTCTGATTGTGCCTATGGCACCTCTGCTCTTCACTGGTTCTATTCTGCATTTTCTTCCATATCGTTCACTCCAGTACGTTATCATCTTACTGTGTAGATTAGGGACCTGGCCCTCCAGTATTTTCCACATGTATATTAATTGGTATCTCTCTCGTCTCCTTTCTAGTGAGTACATTTGGAGGGCTTTGAGACGATCCCAATAATTTAGGTGCTTTATCTCGTCTATGCGAGCCGTATATGTTCTCTGTATTCCTTCTATTTCAGCAATCTCTCCTGCTCTGAAGGGGGAAGTGAGTACTGAGCAGTACTCAAGTCGGGACAACACAAGTGACTTGAAGAGTACAACCATTGTGATCGGATCTCTTATATAGGTTTAAAAATAACTGACATAAATGACATGTACTGTACCGTGGTCAGTATGTACCGACTATGGCGTCTCCTGTACCGTGACAGTGGTCACAGCGTGACAGTGTTATTGTCCACCAACATCGACCCTTACTCCAGTAACGCCTCTCACAATACTTCAACTTCTCCCCTCCACCAAACATCAACCTCTCCCCCTCCACCAAACATCAACCTCTCCTCTCCACCAAACATCAACCTCTCTCCTCCACCAAACATCAACCTCGCCCCTCCACCAAACATCAACCTCTCCCCTCCACCAAACATCAACCTCTCCCCTCCACCAAACATCAACCTCTCCCCATCCACCAAACATCAACCTCTCCCCCTCCACCAAACATCAACCTCTCCCCTCCACCAAACATCAACCTCTCCCCTCCACCAAACATCAACCTCTCCCCTCCACCAAACATCAACCTCTCCCCTCCACCAAACATCAACCTCTCCCCTCCACCAAACATCAACCTCTCCCCTCCACCAAACATCAACCTCTCCCCCTCCACCAAACATCAACCTCTCCCCTCCACCAAACATCAACCTCTCCCCTCCACCAAACATCAACCTCTCCCCTCCACCAAACATCAACCTCTCCCCTCCACCAAACATCAACCTCTCCCCTCCACCAAACATCAACCTCTCCCCTCCACCAAACCTCCCTCATGGTGTATAAGAGCAATCAAGATGCATTTCTTCCCTCAACTTGCCTTCTTGGTCCCATCCCCGCTCCTCTCTCAGGGATGCCCCGTCCCGCCACGCCACCTGGCTTTCACCACAACCCCGCCGAGCCAGGCCCCGCCGAGCCAGGCCCCGCCGAGCCAGGCCCCGCCGAGCCAGGCCCCGCCGAGCCAGGCCCCACCCCGCCGTGCCCCGCCTCAGAGGAACAAGAGGACGCGTGCCGGGGTCAGCCGGGGTGGTGGAGTAATGCTGTAAACGACTCCCTCGGGCTTAACCTCTTTCTTCACCCTCGTCAATGTGATTGGGCGGGCTGGGTGTACGCGTACGTGTGCGTACGTGCGTACATGCGTGCGTACATGCGTGCGTACATGCATGTGCGTGAGTGCGTGTGTCGCGCGCGACTCATGCCCTCGTGTTCTGTTGGTATACATTGTCACTTTTTTCACTGTCAATTCCCCCAAACTATTACATGTCTATAGTGTCTTCAATCTTTTCTGTTATGAAGTTGCCTCTTGAAAATATTTTGATACAAGTAATTCTTCTTGCGTGTACAGGTGGACGTTGAAATGCTCTGGACCTTATTGTTTATATAGACAATGCTTAAAACGTGCAGACTGCCCCACTACCTGACCCTGGAGCTGTTATCCTCGTCCTGCACTGGGGATAAACAACAGTTCCCTAGCCCTTAGAATGTCTAAGTATAGACAACAGTCGCCATATGTCTCGAGTCTCATCTTTAAGGCTCATGTTATCCGGCCCATCATATCTCCTGTTATTTCTAACTGCGTTCTTTACACGTGAGCTTCTCTGATATGATTACTCTCACAACTGTTGCATTGTCCTGCTGTTCTATGGTGTGGTATGATTGCATTTTCTTAGTGGTCCCAGTTTGAATTTTCAATGATATTGGTTTAACTTATTTTGCATCAATTTGGAGGGTTGATGTGACCTCTAATGATGTTACACTTGCTCATATTCTTGTGTCATCTGTAAAAAATATATGGTACTATAGTTGGTTTAGTCCATGTTGGACATGAAAGAGGACGAGCTGAACTGAGGCAAGTACATACATAAATTACATATTACCTTATCACTAGATGCCTGTCACCTGGGGACGCCGGCTGTCACCATGGCGGCTCCAAAATTAACTTCGTTGACTAATGCACATTGCGATTTTTAGGGAGATAATTATGAGGTTAAGACACTAAGCCAACATGAATATATAGTGCTTGGGAAGGTCTACGAGGACATGGGAGTGGGATAACAGGACAATAAAGGAACAGTGCCCAACAATACTTGTACCACTTCATTTGGTGCTGAAAATGTGTAAATTCTAGAAAACTGAGGCCTGAGAGTGACTGCTTTCTTCAGAGTTGTACTGGGAAGAGGGAGCAATTAAGCTTGACAGGTTGTCCGAGTCATCATTTGTCAGGTTAATGTAATGTGCGGGAGAGAAATATGACTTTCCAGTTGAAGCTGAGGGCGTGGGACGACAGGTCTAGAAGAGGGTAAGAGTATACTCTCACCAGGAGCCTATGGGGGCAAGACGACACTAAGGAGCCTCACAGTCCTATAGAGCCAAGAGGTTGAGCCAAACACCTCCCCCTCTTCGCCAGGGTCCGCAAGAAGCATTGCTCTATGACTAGACTATTGACCCAAGTGACCGAGGCTCACACCTACACCTGAGTGGTGTTCAGGTTTGGAGAGGAGTGAAAGGCGGTTTGGATATGTATGCAACAAGGGTAAAGTCTGGCGGTGTGGGGCATAGCTAAAACAAAAAATTAAATAATAAAAATAAATAAATAAATGAGTACCTGATATCTGGTGTTGGATAATGACGCCGGCAGTGTTTTAAGTAGCCTGCCCCCCCCCCCTCCTTTCAGAGTCCCTGGCATAATTCATTTATCACCTTGTTAAAGAGTTTATAGAGCAGGACGTCTTTATTTGAACAAATGCAGACTTGTCACGAACTAACCACTTTGAGTATTAATAGCAAATCCTTATATGTCTTGCAGTCGTGCTGGCTGTTCAGCCAGCCCGACTCCCTCCATTGTCAAGCTGAATTATTATCCATAATATTAATATCCCCGAGCCTTATAACACACGATCAACATGTAAGTACTCCTGTGGTCACAACGTCGAGTTGCCCGTCTTAGGGGAAAGGTGGATAAGAACAGGTCCGTTAGCTATAAAGAACATATATCTAAGCCGGCGTTCTATAGGCTAACCCTGGTGTTATATAATGGAAGGTTTGTGTTGTTGTAACCCCTTGGACCATCGGGGATCGAACTTCGACTCTGCAAGAATTAAGACCCCTCGCTCTAGCCACCAGTCAAAGAGACATACATAAATTACATATTACCTTATCACTAGATGCCTGTCACTCCCCAGGTTAACCTACTTTATGTGGTGGATAATATATATATATATATATATATATATATATATATATATATATATATATATATATATATATATATATATATATATATATATATATATAACTTTCATTTTTATTTTTTCAGGAATGGCACCGGAGTTGAGCCCACGTCTCTTCCCACGTCTCCCACGAGAGGAACCAGCGAGGAACCAGCGAGGAACCAGCGAGGAGCCAGCGAGGAACCAGCGAGGAACCAGAGGAACCAGCGAGGAACCAGCGAGGAACCAGCGAGGAACCAGCGAGGAACCAGCGAGGAACCAGGGAGGAACCAGCGAGGAACCAGCGAGGAACCAGCGAGGAACCAGCGAGGAACCAGAGGAACCAGAGAGGAACCAACGAGGAACCAGAGACGAACCAGCGAGGAACCAACGAGGAACCAGAGAGGAACCAGAGAGGAACCAGAGAGGAACCAGAGAGGAACCAGAGAGGAACCAGCGAGGAACCAGAGAGGAACCAGCGAGGAACCAGAGAGGAACCAGCGGGGAACCAGAGAGGAACTAGCGAGGAACCAGAGAGGAACCAGCGAGGAACCAGCGAGGAACCAGCGAGGAACCAGCGAGGAACCAGGGAGGAACCAGCGAGGAACCAGCGAGGAACCAGGGAGGAACCAGCGAGGAACCAGCGAGGAACCAGCGAGGAACCAGAGGAACCAGAGAGGAACCAACGAGGAACCAGAGACGAACCAGCGAGGAACCAACGAGGAACCAGAGAGGAACCAGAGAGGAACCAGAGAGGAACCAGAGAGGAACCAGAGAGGAACCAGCGAGGAACCAGAGAGGAACCAGCGAGGAACCAGCGAGGAGCCAGCGAGGAACCAGCGAGGAACCAGCGAGGAACCAGAGGAACCAGAGAGGAACCAACGAGGAACCAGAGACGAACCAGCGAGGAACCAACGAGGAACCAGAGAGGAACCAGAGAGGAACCAGAGAGGAACCAGAGAGGAACCAGAGAGGAACCAGAGAGGAACCAGCGAGGAACCAGAGAGGAACCAGCGAGGAACCAGAGAGGAACCAGCGGGGAACCAGAGAGGAACTAGCGAGGAACCAGAGAGGAACCAGCGAGGAACCAGCGAGGAGCCAGCGAGGAGCCAGCGAGGAACCAGCGAGGAACCAGGGAGGAACCAGCGAGGAACCAGCGAGGAACCACCGAGGAACCAGCGAGGAACCAGGGAGGAACCAGCGAGGAACCAGCGAGGAACCAGCGAGGAACCAGCGAGGAACCAGCGAGGAACCAGAGCGAAACAAACGAGGAACCAGCGAGAAACCGGAGAGGAACCAGCGAGGAACCAACGAGGAACCAGAGAGGAACCAGTGAGGAACCAGAGAGGAACCAGAGAGGAACCAGCGAGGAACCAGCGAGGAATCAACGAGGAACCAGAGAGGAACCAGCGAGGAACCAGAGAGGAACCAGCGAGGAACCAGAGAGGAACCAGCGAGGAACCAGAGAGGAACCAGCGAGGAACCAGCGAGGAACCAGAGAGGAACCAGAGAGGAACCAGAGAGGAACAAGCGAGGGACCAGAGAGGAACCAACGAGGAACCAAAGAGGAACCAACGAGGAACCAGAGAAGGAACCAGCGAGGAACCAGAGAGGAACCAGCGAGGAACCAGAGAGGAACCAGCGAGGAACCAGAGAGGAACCAGCGAGGAACCAACGAGGAACCAGCAAGGAACCAACGAGGAACCAGGCCGCCTGAGCATGCACCTAGGGGGGTCCTGGGCCACTTTCCTGCCAGCCGACGCCTCTTGAAGTGGCAGTAATTGTGTAGTGGTCTGAATGGTTCCTTAACGACCGGGAACCACCGTCGCTGCTCGTTAGCGGCTCCTTGCACTACAATAGGAGGAAGTGTACGATTTCGTAAATTGAAGCCGATGGTGGTAGTGGTGACAGGGATGGTGGTAGTGGTGACAGGGATGGTGGTAGTGGTAGGGATGGTGGTAGTGGTAGGGATGGTGGTAGTGGTAGGGATGGTGGTAGTGGTAGGGATGGTGATAGTGGTAGGGATGGTGGTAGTGGTAGGGATGGTGGTAGTGGTAGGGATGGTGGTAGTGGTAGGGATGGTGGTAGTGGTAGAGATGGTGGTAGTGGTAGGGATGGTAGTGATGGTGGTGACAAGGATGGTCACCTTGCCTCGAGGTTACCTTAAATTAAGATGATTTCAGAGCTTAGAGTCCCTTAATATCCTCCTGGTTGCTGGACTGGTCAACCAGGCTGTTAGACGCGGCTGCTCGCAGCCTGACATTGAATCACAGCCTGGTTGATCAGGTATCCTTTGGAGGTGTTTATCCAGTTCTCTCTTGAACACTGTGAGGGGTCGGCCAGTTATGCCCCTTATGTGTAGTGGAAGCGTGTTGAACAGTCTCGGGCCTCTGATGTTGATAGTTCTCTCTTGAACACTGTGAGGGGTCGGCCAGTTATGCACCTTATGTGTAGTGGAAGCGTGTTGAACAGTCTCGGGCCTCTGATGTTGATAGTTCTCTCTCAGAGTACCTGTTGCACCTCTGCTCTTCAACGGGGGTATTCTGCACATCCTGCCATGCCTTCTGGTCTCATGTGATGTTATTTCTGTGTACAGGTTTGGGATCAGCCCCTCAATTATTTTCCACGTGTAAATTATTATGTATCTCTCCCGCCTGTGCTCAAGGGAGTACAGATTTAGGCTCTTTAGTCGGTCCCAGTAATTTAGATGTTTTACCGAGTGGATTCTAGCAGTAAAGGATCTCTGCACGCTCTCCATAGGGATAGGGTGACCTCTGATATAAGTTTTGATGCTGGCATCACATCCATGAAAAATTCATTTGGGTTATCAATCTTCAGTGTGTTTAGTGGCTCGCTGAAAATAGTCGTACTGATTCCTAAGTATTTCGCTTATTTCTTTGTTAGCAAGTGTGAATATTCCATCATAATTGTGCAGGGGCCCGATACTAGATGTGGTTGATGATCTTGATTGTGGAGCTCCTGGTTGGGAATCACTCCTGACCACCACATCAACCCCCTGACCACCACATCAACCCCTGACCACCACATCAACCCCTGACCACCACACATCAACCCCTGACCACCACATCAACCCCTGACCACCACATCAACCCCTGACCACCACACCAACCCCCTGACCACCACATCAACCCCTGACCACCACACCAACCCCTGACCACCACATCAACCCCTGACCACCACACCAACCCCTGCCCACCACACCAACCCCTGACCACCACATCAACCCCCTGACCTCCACACCAACCCCTGACCACCACATCAACCCCTGACCACCACATCAACCCCTGACCACCACATCAACCCCCTGACCACCACATCAACCCCTGACCACCACATCAACCCCCTGACCACCACATCAACCCCTGACCACCACATCAACCCCCTGACCACCACATCAACCCCCTGACCACCACATCAACCCCTGACCACCACACCAACCCCTGACCACCACATCAACCCCTGACCACCACATCAACCCCCTGACCACCACATCAACCCCTGACCACCACACCCCTCACATCCCCCTGACCTCCACACCAACCCCTGACCACCACATCAACCCCTGACCACCACACCAACCCCTGACCACCACACCAACCCCTGACCACCACATCAACCCCTGACCACCACACCAACTCCTGCCCACCACATCAACCCCTGACCACCACATCAACCCCCTGACCACCACATCAACCCCTGACCCCTGACCACCACATCAACCCCCTGACCACCACATCAACCCCTGAGTTAGTTTAGTTCATTTATTATGCACCCCATACCCATCTTGTGGGCGGTAGTGGAAAGGGTTACAGAGGCACATAATGGGCTCAGGGACTGAACCCCACAATTCATTTAGCTAAGCAAGTTACAATCTTGATGAGCTAGTTACAAAATTCAGTATAAGTCGTCACATCAACAATGGGTTCGAGATCGACCTCAAGTACAGGTTCTAAATTAAGCAACTGACATATGTGGAGAGCTAGTGTCACAATTGATATGTTTGTCCTGCACACCGCCCCCCATCCAGTGGGCAGCGGTGGATAGGTTACAATCACTTAGTTACTACCTACAGTTAGCAAACTGGGGATATTTGGCTAAAATTTCTGGTAGCAGATCATTTTGAATGAAATATTTACACATCGCTGGAACATTGGTTATAGAATTGTCTCTGAATTCACGTATCTTTTCGCACTCCATCACATAGTGACGGAGGGTGTGCGAATAATTTTGTTGACACAGTTTACATTTGGTCAGGTCTACATCAGCAGATAATGAGAATTCCCAGAGTGCACAGTTACAACCACAACAGACCACTGGAACATTATCTAACACAGTGCACAGTTACAACCACAACAGACCACTGGAACATTATCTAACACAGTGCACAGTTACAAACCCATTAAGATTTCAACTTCGATTCAACAGAGCAGAAGAAGTTGTTAAACACATATGGCAAAATCTTACTGAAGCGACCATACGAGTCATAAATACTCATACTCCGCCCAAGTAAAACAGAAACAAGCAACACTTAGTGGGCCAGCCAGAGGCTTAGGGCCCGCGCAGGAATATCCCTGAAAAAAAAGTTGTAACATCTAGAAGTCTGCTGATTTTGTTGGATGAACCATAGATCCATAGGGGAGCCGGTCGGCCGAGCGGACAGCACGCTGGACTTGTGATCCTGTGGTCCCGGGTTCGATCCCGGGCGCCGGCGAGAAACAATGAGCAGAGTTTCTTTCACCCTGATGCCCCTGTTACCTAGCAGTAAATAGGTACCTGGGTGATAGTTAGCTGTCACAGGCTGCTTCCTGGGGGTGGAGGCCTGGTCGAGGACCGGGCCGCGGGGACACTAAAAAGTCCCGAAATCATCTCAAGATAACCTCAAGATAGATGTGTGGCTCCTCTTGCATGCTAGTATGATGATAGATGGAGTTACTGGTGTCGATTTCACTTTGCCTCAGAGCTACAAGATTTTGTTGAAGCTCTTGGTGTACTGCTGCTCTCAGACTGCTTATTGACAATCCAAGGTTAGACTCATAGGCTCCTTTAAAGGCAGATTCTTTGGCTAACTCATCAGCTCTATCATGCATTCGGAGGCCAACATGAGATGGAGTCCACATGAAATGGACTCTGTTACCATCATTAATAATTTTGTTGTATTTGTGCCTAGCTTTGGACACGAGCATGTTACAGTTATGAGTTGAGTTGAGAGCAATTAAGGATGATAAAGAGTCACTTACAATTAATGTATCAAGTTTGGAGACTTGTACACATTTCAGTGCAAGAAGCAAGGCAAATAGTTACATTTACGCTACATAGCGCTACATTTACTCACTCACTCTCACCCCATTACAGGTATACAAGAGATAGACTAATACATCTGGAACAATACAATCTCCTGAGCACACAACCAACTACTGATTGCGCCACTGGCACCATAAAAAAACTACTAGGGCCGGACGGTAGAGCGACGGTCTCACTTCATGCAGGTCGGCGTTCAATCCCCCCGACCGTCCACAAGTGGTTGGGTACCATTCCTTACCCCCATTCCATCCCAAATCCTTATATCCTGACCCTTTCCAAGTGCTATATAGTCGTAATGATTGGCGCTTTCCCCTGATTATTCCCTCCCTCCCGGACACAGATCCCATCAGTGTTACAACAATGAATGCAGGTGGGCCTCTGTACAGTGGAATGTTATCAGTTAATGCACAAGGCAGTCACAACAGAGTGGCAGGAATTCCTCAGAATTCCTTAACACACAACATTGCTCAGCTTACAGTTAACAAGTACAAATATTGGTTTCCAGGTTTCCCTAACTTCTACTGCTCTTGTGATCTGCAAGTTCATTCACATCTATTTGTTAACCCTTCAGCTGCGACGTTTAAAACTATATTAGGAATAGACTTCAACTAACATTCTTAGATTATGGCACTATATTGGCACTGAGAACAATGCAGTTTGGGTTAAGATGTGCTACAACCAACGAAAGCAGATGTTGGTGCAAGTCAAATAACTTGGAACGAAGGAAACAATTTAACGGTGTTTGCCACGTTATGTTCCATTTAAAGTGGCATAAATTGGAATCACTAAGCACGATGATTAATGGAGCTGGGGTTATTTGTATTTGGTTTTCTAAGCAGTGGTCTATGTTTATCAGCTAGCTGTTGAAATACTAGGGATATACATCAGTAATTTGTAAACAAAGCCAATAACCAAATTTTACCCATGCCCTGAGAGTACTCAGAGTATGGGTAACGATGTGTATCAGTGCTATACCGACGGCTCTGTAGAAGAAGGTGGACGATGTACCGGATGTGCATGTAATATATTTGAACAATCTTCTCTCGTACATACAGCAATGAAGCGCGTCAATGACTGGGCAAGTACAACTCAAACCGAACTTGCAGGCATATACCTTGCCACTGAATTTTTAAAAGACAAAGGCAGTGGACTTATATACTGTGACTCGCAGAGTGCACTCCTGGCATTGAACGCACATAGTAGTAACACCCAGAAAATAGTCAGTGATATTCGAACGAATGTTTTAGCTGCAAAAGAAAACAGATTTAAAATTAATTTCCTATGGATACCATCACATGTTGGCATCTCAAGGCATGACACTGTTGATATACTTGCTAAGACAGCCTGTAGAAAACCAGTGGTAGAAATTGATATGGGTGTTTCATTACCAGTGACAAAGAGAATACTTAAACAAATATCTAATGAAGATCTCACCGACCTAACAAATT